ACTTTCCAAAATATCTAATTTTTTAGTTAAGCCATTATTATAATAAGTGTGTATTCAACCGCATAAAGATAACCTTGCATTACCATTTTCAACCCCTTACAACCCTTTTTTCGCATTAAAAAGTAGCCTATGTCCTTCCTCGGCGTCTAGACTATATGGGTACCAAATTTCATTTAAATCAGTTCAGTAGTTTTGGCGTGAAAGCGAGACAGACAGACAGACAGACAGAGTTACTTTCGCATTTATAATATTAGTAAGGATATATATATAAATTATGATCCGCGATGGACTCTGACTGAACTGATTGCAAATTTGATTTGCATATTGTGTGCAATTTGATCCAACTTGAAAGATAGGATAGCTTACATCTCAATTTATAGTCATAATATTATTTTATTCAAGAAACTTAGCCACTGTAACTCGTGGCCGTATCTGCTAGTACATATATATATATATCTGACTCTGCAGTGACATAAACACATATAACAAGTTTTCTTTCCAGTAGGTTTTTTCAAGCGACTACAGCACAGAGCTTCTAGAAGGGTATACTAAGATTTCATGAGGGTCGACAGCGCGCACGTGACACCTCTGTTGTTTCAGGCGTCCATAGGCTACGGTAACCATTTGTGATCAGATGAGCCGTATGCTTTACCACCTACGTAGTATAAAAAAGAAACATGTAGGATATTTTAGCGAATTACGCATTTTTTTTTAAATTATTTGTTTATCCTGCAATGTCATTATTAATAATACAAACTATCGTACTCATGAATATAAATGTTTGTATCGTACGAGGAATTGAACCCGCAACTATCTGAAGTAAAGCTGTACGTTAAACCGCTAGACTACCGAGACAGAAGACCAATTCCAACTTTGAAATTTGATTAGAATCTTAAATATAATTTAAATTCTATAATTATGTATTCTATTATGGAAATAATTCTAAATTAGATCACAAAATGAAACTGCTTCATCTTTAATCACCATAATATAACCTGTATTGTAAGGATATAAACTAGGTTATGGTTTAATAATAATAATCTTGTGCTTCTACCGGGGGTAAGTTGCCATCTCCTCTCCTTAAGAGGGGAGATGAGATTTTTTTTGGAAGTTAGGAATAATAATAATCTCAAGACAATTCACAAGCGCCATCTAGACCCAAGTTAAGCTAGCTAAAGCTTGTGTTATGGGTACTAGATAACTGATACAAATATATGTATATATTTGTAAATACTTCCATATTATACACAGAAAATACCCAGACCGATACGAACAATCATACTCATGAATACAAATGTTTGTTTTGCGAGGTATCGAACCCGCGACCATCGGGTAGTAAAGCGGTATGCTATACCACTAGACTACCGAGGTTATTATTTATACATGTAAATAAAATTGGAGTGTCTGTTTGTAATATTGAAATAACCGTTTTTTACTACACGCATATGGATATAAATACGGTACATACAGCAAAATAACATTTTTTACAATTTTTCTCTGCCTGTCTGTCTGTTTGTTCCGGCTAATCTCTGAAATGGCTGGACCGATTTTGACGGAACTTTTATTCGCAGATAGCTAATGTAATAAGAAGTAACTTAGGATTTTTTTTATTTTAGAAAATTAAAATTAAATTCCACGCAGACGAAGTCGCGTACAGCTAGTGATATAATACAAATGCGTCCTGTCCCGCGGAGCTAAGGGTTTCCTTGAAATAATTTCATTTACCTCAAGAAAGTTAATCAAAAGTTTTGTACTTTCCATGTTTTCTAGAGGCACATTAACAAATAAACAAGTTCAGTAACTTAAGTGAGTTCGCTCCACGATGATTGTTCACAAGTTGTGTTTTCATGACGTTTTTCTTTATAAATACCGCGAAATAATATTTTCACAATATCCTCCACTGATATTATATAGAATGGAATAGAAATTTCTCATCTACTAAGCCTGCAGACTTAATAAAACTGGTAAGTTTTAAGATGGTATCATGTATATATAGTATTCATAAACTTAATTGTAAGTAAGTATATTTATATGAAAATTAAATATTATACTGTCTATTATTTATAATAATAATATTAATAAAATAATAATAAAACCAGTAAAGTCCGAGAAAGTGAGATGATAATAATAATAATAATCTCAGGACAATTCACACAGCGCCATCTGTATCCAAGTTAAGCTAGCTAAAGCTTGTGTTATGGGTACTAGATAACTGATACAAATACATAGATATATTTTTTTTGTAAGTCCATACATATTATACATAGAAAACAGCCAGAACGATACAAACAATCATATTCATGAATACAAAATGTTTGTACCGTGCGAGGAATCGAACACGCGATCATCGGAAGTAAGGCGGTGAGCTAAACCGCTGGACCACCGAGGCCGTTTAGTCGTCGTCTTATATATAATACTAGCTGACCGGCAAACGTTGTTTTGCCATATAGATTAATATCGCTATTAAAAAATAGGAGTTGATGATAGAAGGGTGAAAATTTAGGGTTGTACGTATTTTTAATGCCATAGAATAAAAAAAGGTTGTCGAAAAAATGAAAAAAATTTTGGGGTGGTCCGCCCTTAACACTTATGGGTATAAAAATTAGTTATAAACCTATCAGACCTACTAAATATAAATATAAAATTTCATCAAAATCAGTCAAGCCGTTTCGGAGGTGTAAAACACGAATCCTGCGACACGAGAATTTTATATATTAGGAGTATGTGTGTATAATTTGTCTATTGTATTAAAAAGCAGGTTAACTCTATTAATGTATGTACGTTCATACATATAAGCATTTTTTTGTTATAATTTAATTGTCACCAATTTTAATAGCGATTTTGATATGGCAAATCGTTTGTGGGGTAAGTTAGTGTTAAATAAAAAATAATTATTCAAATTCAAATTCAAATTCAAAAATCATTTATTCATGTAGGACATTTTAGCCGCTTATGAACGTCAAATTTTTACATTATAATTTTATTTTTTTCCCTACCGTCCAGTTCGGTATATAGATCCAATTGAGAAGAACTGGCAAGAAACTCAATTGAATTACTTTTTCAATTGAGTTTCTTGCCAGTTCTTCATTACACAATTTGTCAGTTTGCATTTACTGCGGACCCGAATAGTTTCATACGATTTTAACATGTTGAATTTTGGCGTACATGTACCAGTATAATGTACCGTCTGGAGGCATTAATTTACAAGTTACAAAGTACCCTGCTTTAGTTGGTACAAGTAACCCCTGCCCCAAGTTGCGACCCGGACAGATTTCCCCGGAGAACACTTCAGCCGGTACATCGTTGCGCATAAAAGAAAGAAAAAAAAGAAAGAAAAGGGTAGGCAATGATAATATCAACATGCCGATTGATTTATATAATTTTTTGTTTTACAAAACTGTGGCAGAACCTTTCTGTTGCTTTTGTTTTTTTTCCTAGACAATTCATAGAGCGCCATCTAGTCCCGAGCTAAGCAAAGCTTGATCTAAGGGTATTAAACAATTGATAAGTAAAACTTGAGCTAAGGACACTAGACAACTGATATAAATACTCCACATAACAATAAAGTCTATTAAATTGAAATAGTTTGTTTTGTTTTTTTTCTAGACAATTCACACAGCGCCATCTAGTCCCGAGCTAAGCAAAGCTTGATCTAAGGGTATTAGACAATTGATATAAATACTCCACATAACAATAAATTCTATTAAATTGAAATAGTTTCTTTTGTTTTTTTTCCTAGACAATTCACACAGCGCCATCTAATCCCGAGCTAAGTAAAACTTGAGCTAAGGACACTAGACAACTGATATAAATACTCCACCTAACAATAAATTCTATTAAATTGAAATAGTTCGTTTTGTTTTTTTTTCTAGATAATTCACACAGCGCCATCTAGTCCCGAGCTAAGCAAAGCTTAATCTAAAGGTATTAGACAATTGATATAAATACTCCACATAACAATAAATTCTATTAAGTTGAAATAGTTCGTTTTGTTTTTTTTTTCTAGACAATTCACACAGCGCCATCTAGTTCCAACTTAAGTAAAACTTGAGCTAAGGACACTAGACAACTGATATAAATACTCCTAGACAACTGGTACAAATACTAGTAATAAATTCTATTAAATCAAAATAGAAATAGAAATAATATTCATTCAAATAAACTTAATATAAGCACTTTTGAATAGTCATATTTTATTATTCAAACGATTTGAAACGCAAATTCATAACAAGAAGAATTAATAAGAAGTTTGCATGTTGCACTTTTAATTTTAATAAATATTAGTGAAATTAATTTAAATTTCATTAAATTATGACATTATCTTATTTAATAAATTTAAAGTTATTAAAGATATCAATATGAGAGGCACTATGTATAAAAATTTAATTTTCAAACCTATATATATTAACATATCCTATGGTAAATGTAGATATCAGTCTGTAGGTTCATTTGAAACGAAGATTCGTCAGGAGAAACCTTTGTGTTAATCTTTTAAAAAAAATTTGGTGACATTAAATTAAATTATGATACAATCTCCTAATTCTAATAAAATTAAAAGTTTTTAATATATATATATATATATATGAGAGGCACTATAGTATGTACACAAACATTTTCAGACATATATTATTACATCTTCTGGTAAATATTACTTTATAGACTGTGGAATAATAATAATGTACTTAGACAATTGATACAGGGCCATCTAGTCTCAAGTTAAGTTAAGCTACATATGCTTGTGTTATGGGCATTAGACTACTGATATAAATGCATAGTTACTTTTTTGCAAATACATACATAATATACATAGAAACACCCAGATCGATACAAACAATCATACTCATGAATACAAATGTTTGTACCGTACGAGGAATCGAACCCGCAACCATCGGACGTGAAGCGGTGTGCTAATCCACTAGACCACCGAGGTCGTCAACATTTACTATAGTGATAAAAGTAAAAAAAATCTAATAAATAATTACCTTATATGTGCCAAGGTGCTCGACCACACACGGGAGGCTGGCATCTCTGCCAAGTGCAACTGTGACGTTGGGTATCGGCTCGGCAAAACGGGGCTCTTCTGTTAACACTGTGGACAATAACAATACTTTAATAGAAATAGAAATAATCTTTATTCAAATAAACTCATTACAAGCACTTTTGAATAGTCACATTTTGATTCTACCACTCATTCGGAATGCAGATTCATCACAAGAAGAATGAGCAAGAAACTTGTGTGTTGCTCTTTTTAATAGATGTTTTTTTTTATATAAATAATTACAGTATAACAAGTAAGAGGCATGCGATAATCAACATAGAAGTCGCTACGCACTCATTATTAATGTAATCAGATAATATTGTCAGTGCTATGGATTTAAAGATTTTCTATAAAAACATTATTATCGTTAACGAATTTTTAAAATATATTACTACTATTTATTATTAATAATAACAACTAGCTGTACGCGCGACTTCTTCTGCGTGGAATTTTGCAATATTACTTTATTTTTCTAAAGTAAAAGTAGCCTAAGTTACTCCTTATTACATCACCTACATGCCAATAAATTCCCGTCAAAATCAATTTCAGAGATTAGCCAAAACAAACAGTCTGTATGTTTGTTACGGCTAATTGTTGAAAGATAGACAAAAATTGCTAAAAAAATATTTTGGAGTATGTACCGTAGTTACATTCATATGCATGTAGTAAAAAACGGTTATTTCAATATTACAAACAGACACTCCAATTTTATTTATATGTATAGATAATAATTTATTTATTCAGACAACTAGATCCATTTGTGTCAGTAATTACCTTAAAAACTATGTTAGTAGAAATAGAAATAGAAATAATCTTTTTTCAAATAAACTTACTAAAAGCTCTTTTGAATAGTCACATTTTTTTATTCTTCAACTCATTCGGAATGCAGACTCATCACAAGAAGAATGAGCAAGAAACTTGTGTGTTGCTCTTTGAATTAAATATTGTTTCAATTAGATTTACATTAACAAGGATTAGGCATGCGACAATCAACGTAGAAACCGCTACGCACTTAATCTCTGTTCAATCAGATTAGTGAGATTATACATTAATTAAATTTATAATTCAATACATATTTTACAGTTATTTTACCTATCTATGTGAATATGAAATGAAAATAAGTTCGGTAGTGTTGGAGTTTATAGCTTTCTATATGAAATTTTATATATATATACTCGTATATATAATAGGTCAAGAGGTTGTTTTCGTACATTGCCTAAAATTTTAATACATTTCTTAAAAGAATATTTGATTATTTGATGTAATTTTAAGATGTATAAATATATAGACAAGAAAGTATAATCAACATAAAAACAGTAGGTACTATATATGTATTTTGTACGCCCATAGCAGAATAATTGCTTGCCGTGAATGTAGTTATTGCTTTTCAATTTAAACAGTAACCATTCCGATCAATCCGATTGAATTAGTCCATAAATATCTATTTTTCCATACACCATCGAAACATCCTTTGTTGCAAATAACATCATGACCACCATGGTGTTATTATTAGAGCCATGATAGCTAAAATAATAAAGTATATCCAATAAAATCTGGATCTAAAGTTTGAACTTTATATCGAGCATGATTGTTTCAAGTTGAAATGAATAAATAAATAAATTATAAAAAAAAGTTACTCCATTACGTCATTTATAGTATTTATACCATAGGCTGTATCAATCATAGTTTTCATTAATTACAATATTTAACTCCTTTGATATTGTTATTACTTTTAAAAATATTATAATATATAATAATTTAAATGAAATTTATTGAAAACATGTATAAAACATGTTTTCAATAAATTTCAATTATTGATACATTATTCTTTTTATAATTCACAACTGCACATTAATATATTACATTATTATAAACTACGCATAGACACTCGTACAGTCCACCGATCCATTACATTTTTGGTCCTTTGAGCCGGATTATTGAAATTTCACACGCTGCCGTAAGTTGAAATTTCCCGACGTAAATTATTTTCCAAATTTCATTTATCATATTTCACTACATATTGTCATTATCTAAATTACAATATCTCTGGAATAATCTCTGAATATTTGGACTTAGAAGAGCATTGGGTATTTTTTGTTCATCTCAGCCAGGAAGACGTCCACCGCTGGATAGAGGCCTCCCCCAAAGATCTCCACGACGATCGATCCTGCGCTGCTCGCATCCATTGCCTTCCAACGATCTTATACCAGATCGTCGGTCCACCTTGCTGGAGTCTTCCCACGCTGCGTCTTCCGGTCCGCGGTCGCCACTGGAGAACTTTACTGCCCCAACGGCCATCTGTCCCACGAGCTATGTGCCCTGCCCATTGCCACTTCAGTTTTACAATTCTTCGGGCTTCGGTCATTCTGGTTCTTCTGCGGATCTCCTCATTTCTGATACGATCACACAGAGAAACTCCGAGCATAGCCCTCTCCATTGCCCTCTGAGTGACTCTAAGCTTATGAGTCCATTTTTTTGTTAATTAAAATTAATTAACGAATATTTCGTATTACATACACAAATAAAAACAAACCAATTGTGTTAAAATCTATATTTTTTGAGGTCGGCGTCCGAAACAATAAAACCGTCTTCATCGTTCAACCAGCGAGCTTTATTAAACGATAGAAACAAAGCGTTGAAGAATTTCAAAGCAAAACACAAAGATGTTTTCTGAGCGGTGAGGATTGACATTTTTAATCAACCACGAAGTTCGGCCCTCGTAATGACAGGCAAAACATTGTTTATTACCAAAGTTCGGTGGATAAAGGCAGATAACAACACTTTGTAAAGCCCCGCTCGATAAGGGACAGCCACTGTTTCCCTTTTATTAAATTAAGTTTTTAGCTTTGTTGTGCAATATTGGAGTTTTCTGATTATTAACATTGAGTGTTAATGGAAAGCAATTTTGGAATAAATTCAAATTCAAAAACCATTTATTCATGCAGGACATTTTAGCCGCTTATGAACGTCAAATTTTTTATATTACATTTCAATTTTTTTCCCTACCGTCCAGTTCAGTACCTATATAGCTCCAATTGAGAGTATATAGCTCCAATTGAGAAGAACAAGAAACTCAATTGAATTACTTTTTTTTTAAAGCCAGTTTATATACAATGTATATTTATATAGGTGTCTATGTCTAACAATAAATGAAAATCCCGTGCATGAACAACTATTGCCATGCACGCTCGTCATTCAAGTAATCGTTTAGTGAGTAATAGGCTTTGCTCAGTAATGATTTAATGATTTAGTGTTAGTTTAATGATTAGATGTTTTGAATTTATATAAGCCAGTTTATATACAATGTATATTTATATAGGTGTCTATGTCTAACATTAAATTAAAATCCCGTGCATGAACAACTATTGCCATGCACGTTCGTCATTCAAGTAATCGTTTAGTGAGTAATAGGCCTTGCTCAGTAATGATTTAATGATTTAGTGTTAGTTTAATGATTAGATGTTTTGAATTTATATAAGCCAGTTTATATACAATGTATATTTATATAGGTGTCTATGTCTAACATTAAATGAAAATCCCGTGCATGAACAACTATTGCCATGCACGCTCGTCATTCAAGTAATCGTTACACATGTTTTTATTTTTTATGTATCTACAGTTATTTCAATTACAATTACACAGTAATCTAGATACATCAATATAATAATTGTGTTTAATAATGTCTAGTAAGACAAATCCAATATTGTGTACTAAGCACTGCTGTGTCTAAACTGTGTCACCCCACCTTACATTTTCCTATTGCCATTTAGTATATAAGATCAATATTTTTATGTACATTTTGTCAGTCATATACATCGTCTCAACCGACAACATAGTATTATTACCGCAACATTAATCTTACCAGAAGTACATTGTAAAAGTTGAGTAAAAGTGTATACCTAAGTCTCACTTATTTGTAGCAAGCAGCTTGTTTTGTAGTAATATCTCAAGACAAACATACAACGCCGTTTAGTCTGAAGCTAACCAGATGTAGTGTAACAAGTACTAGATTTTTTTTAGGAAAATCCATCACCGAGAACCAGTCCCTTAGGAAGGAATGAATATTTCCGGACTCCTACCTGATAAAAACCTGACGACTATTTCTCCTTGAATCATATCGCCCGGGCCATGGGAACCATAGCATTCATCCAAGAACATTAGTCGGACCTAGGTGGTCTAGCGGTTGAGTACACTGCTTTTTTTTCCGACGGGCGCGGGTTTGATTTGATCCTCGTACGGTACAAACATGAGTATGATTGGTCTGGGTATGTTCTACGTATATTATGCATGTAATTAAAAAACAAAAAAAAACGATTTATATCAGTTGTCTAGTACCCATAACACAAGCTCTGCTTAGCTTGGGACTAGATGGCATAGTGTGAATTGTCCTGGATAATTATTATTATTTATAAAATACTAATATAAAATACATTTTTTAAGGTTCATACATAATATGTATGTATCTGGGCAGTACCTGAATATCAGTGGTTTGCTGTTTGTATGCTGCAAACAATACACTGAGGTGCTGCCTTTTTACGTATCGGATATGCACACACACTACGTTACTCATACCGTTTTTTGTTATCTGTATTGCATTTTATTTTATCTGTATATCTGTTGTGCATTGTATTTTGTTGACTTCACTAATGTAATGTGTATATCTGTTTTTATTTTTGTTCTTATTATTACAGCGCCTTGTGTGTGTGTGTGTGTGTGTGTGTGCCTTTAACGCGAATAAAATTTTTATCTATCTATCTAATCATACATATAGATACATAAATAAACATACACAGGAACACAAATTTTTGTACTGTGCGAGGAATCGAACCCTCATCGGAAGTAAAGCAATGCTAATCGACTACACTGACTCAATCTTATATCCACACATATCAATTTCATAGATCAGCTGGACCGATTTATATTCAAATCGTGTAATCGACACTTTAACATCTCAACTTGCTTCATAGTTCAACAAGTTATGCGTGCTCACTTTACTAGATGGTTGAAAAGAAATACTTTTCATCTCAATATATCTGTTAAAAAATATACAC